TGTATGGCAGCTTCTCCACTGACTTGCTTGAAAGATCAGCCAAGAAAAGGTGAAAAGCTCACATTATCACCAAATCGAACTTTGGCTGCAATAACTGATTCCCTCGGCCGTATCTTGCTTTTAGACACTCAGGCACTTGTTGTAGTCAGATTGTGGAAGGTTGGGTATCCATTGGCTCTATATGGTTTTGAATTACTTAAGGTCTTTTTGGAAATTTTCTACAGAAGGAGTAGGAAAGAACGTTTTAGAAGGGAGACAGGGACACCATTTCATTCTTCTTTCTTATCATCACTACTTGTGTTTGGGTGGACGTAAAATAATAAATGAAAGGAAAGATATTTATTTATCATTTTAGAATTATTGGTTTTGGATAAACATATAGTTATAAAAGGCACCATTTGACCTTCGTAACACCCCAAACTAAATTTGAAAACTTGAAAGTAGGATAAAAATGTAAGTTTTAGGATGAATTTTCCTAGAAGGGGGGATGGAAAGTAAGGCCTGTTTACTTTTCCCTACTTTCCCTTCGTTCCCAAACAAGGTAAAGCGTATTTGTCTCCACACTTCTTATTTCCTTTCATTATTTTCTTCCCAAAAATACTGCATTTGTGACGGTTATGGATGAACCTTTTCATCCTTTTTAGGGATATCGTGATGCAAGCTGCTTATTCGTGGAGATGCTTCTCAATAAAGATTCTTCCACATTGAAGTCTCCACGTCATGAATATACAAAGAGTGACTATTGCTTATGTCTTGCAATTCATGCACCTCACAAAGGGATAGTAGAGGTAATTTTCATTAATTCCTTATCATGTTCATGCATGATTTTGTTTCAGCACAAGAAAAACATAACATGTTCTTCAATTTACTCCCTTTGTCTTGTTAGCTCAAACTAATTTTAGAAGTTCATAATAATTTAAAATTAATAATTGTAAAAGTACATGAGTGTTTTACTTCAAAAGATATATTTTGAACTTCTAAAAATAGGTTATTAAGGGTAAACTGCTCCAGTCACTTGCCTTGCAATTTTAGGGATGTGCATGTTGGTTCGATTGATGAACTGGTCAACAGTAGACAAAACTGAATAACCTGAATCAAAATCGGCAAACATAATTTGTTTTTTTTTCTGAACCATTTTAAACCAATAAGGGAAAACTATCAAATAGGCCTCTGTACTATAGCGAAAATGGTGATTAAGCCCTCGTACTTGAAAAACACCCAATTAGACACCCGAACTCTTAAAAATCGACCAATTGAGCGTTTTAGCAGGTCAGCTTCAGGTTTCAGGTAACCGCCCACGTGGCAGCCTACGTGGCAGCCCACATGGATTTCCCCCCTCCTTTTTCCCCTTCCCCTTTCTCTTTCTTTTTCTCCTTTCTTTTTCTCTCTTCTTTCCCTCTTTCTTCTCTTCTAAGCAGGCCTTGCTGACTACTTCCCAGCAACACACTGCCGGTCACTGCACTTTGTGTCGCCAGCCACCGCACCTGTGTCGCCGGCCACCGAACTCACTGCCCTGCGACATCACTTAACTGGCGGCCACCACACCCGCGCCGCTGTCACTGCCATCTTTTCAGTCAACCTGCATGTCGTTGCCGGATATCGCTGCCCTTAGCCGGCGGGCTCCACTGCACCTAGCCGCCGGACATCTTTGAGTTAGAAGTCGCCCTTCACTGCAGTCAGCCACCACCCTACCCTGCAGTCAGCCACCACTCTTTACTCCACTTATCCGGCGCCCTTCACTCCATTTATCCGGTGATGGCTGGCCAAGAACTCCGACTCCAGCAATGGAAGCTGCAATCCCCAGAAATGGTCGTCGCAGTACTCGGAGGTGGTGGCCGCAGTCCTTGGGGCTGGGGGCTAAAATTGAAACCATCCCCACTGTACAAACTGGTCTGTGCGAACTGCGAACTGAAACAAGGTAGGAAGAGAGAAAAAAGAAGGAAACGAAAGAAAAAACGAAAAAAATCCAAGTGGGCTGCCATGTCGGCCATTAATCGGGAACCTGAAACTTACCTGCTAAAACGCTCAATTGATCGATTTTTAAGAGTTCGGGTGTCTAATTGGGTGCTTTTCAAGTACGAGGGCTTAATCGCCATTTTCACTATAGTACGAGGGCCTATTTGACAGTTTTTCGAACCAATAAATTTGCAACAACAATTTAACAACTGAAACTCATTCATACTGAGCCAAATCAAACTAGGTTTTAAACCTAACCGAGCCCGGAAAAACAAATACCATATGGATTTGCCTAGAGCCCTATCAATTTATGGAACCATGATTGTTTAGGGGTGCAAATGAGCCGAGCCTCTCGTGAGCCGCTCGTGAGCTGCTCGGTCAAAGCTCGAATCGAGTTCGGTCAACCTCGAGCTCGAGCCGAGCTCAAGTCGGCTCGTTAAGCAGTCGAGCCATAAATGAGCCTACTAATTTTAGGCTCGCTAGCTCACGAGTCTAGTTTAATGTGTGTATGTTTATATATTTAATATGTATATATATAATATTAATATAAATTAATATATAATATATATTAGTATATACTCCCTCCGTCCCTAATAACTCTGCCATGTTTGACTGGCACGAGAAATAATAAAGTAAAAACTGTGTGGTTGAGGTTGGTGCAGAGGAGAGAGAATGAACTGGAACCACAAATTCTTTATTTAAAAGGGAAAGTGGCAAAGTTAATGGGACATCCAAAAAAGGAAAGTTGGCAAAGTTATAAGGGACGGAGGGAGTATAATATATATAATATAAATTAATATTTATATAATACCGATACCGATTGGTAAATGTATATGAGGATCGGGAAGATATATTTTCCGTTCCCGTAACTCTAGTTTCAGTTACATCATCATGGTTTGATCATTTTTTATTTATTTTGGACAACATTTACTCTACTTTTACTTTTAGTTGTTGGGCATGTAAATTTCATACTTGAGCTCGAGTTCGAACCCAAACTTTCGAGCTAATCGAACTTGTAACATTTGAGTTGACGAAACAAAATTACCGCGCTGAGTCGAGCCGAATCGAGCCATGTCAATATTTGCGAGTCGAGCTCGAGCCCGGATTTTTTAAGCTTCGTTCGAGCCGAGCTCGAGCTCGAGCCAATATAATATATTTCGAGCTCGAGCTCGAGCCTACATAAACTCGGGCTCGGTTCGGCTCGGCTCGTTTGCACCCCTATGATTGTTTGTTAGAGATATATGCTTTGTTGCAGATTTGGCAGATGCGAACTGGGCCTCGCCTTCAAACCATTCCGCTACTCAAGGGCAGCAAAGTATTGCAACCGGCATATTGTTTTAGCTTATCTTCAGAAGAATCATCATCGGCTTCTGCATATGTACCCTTGGAAGTTTTCTTTTTGAATGGAGACTCTGGTCAGCTCTCTGTTCTTAACAGATCTCTTAATCAAACCACTGCCAGCTAATTGTATTAGAATAGGGAAAAAAATTCACATGTCCTACTTTCCTGTAAGTAGTCCAAAATATCCCACAATGTATGCATGTAGATTCCAAAAAACAGGGGCTTGACTGGTTGGGGAGTGTGAACTGGTCTTTTATCTTCTTTCATCACCATATATTGTTATCTATTATTCCCTCCGTTCCGCTAACAATGAGACATGAGGGAGTGACACGCAAATTAATAAAAAGTGGTTTATGTGGTTGATATTGAATTAATAAAGTAAGAATAAAGTAAGAATGATTTAGAGTCACACAAACTTTACCAAATTTGGTATGAGACAATCTTAGTGGGACGGATCGATAAGATAAAATGGGACAATAAAAGCGGGACGATGGTAGTATTATTATACGAGTGATGGAGTATATGGCCCAAGGACTCCCGGGCCTCGGCCCACAGACTCCTGCTTCTCCTACATGGGTGCATCAAAGCTCAATGATCGCATAAAGCCCAAACGTAGCGGCCCAGACATGAAGAAATCCACGGTGCACATGAGGATGCCTTCGGATCCGTGGCTGAAGGCCCCAAATTCTATAAGACAACTTGATATTGGACCTACAAAGCTGCTGGGAATTTCAGGCTAGAATATTAGCCTTTAGTTATTCTGTGCCCTCGACAGAATGTAGCCCTCGGCTGTATAATGCCTTCGACTATATGCTATTTTCGGCATATAGCAGACTCGACGAAGATTCCTTTTAGAGACGGGCAACCACCGCATTAAAAACGGCGTCACGTCCAACCACCGCATTTAATGCGGTGCACATGCAAATGCCAGTGCTACCTCGATTGAGATGACCCTCGGCCGTCAGATGTTTGACACGTGTTCTTGCCTAGCATTTATGGCTACTATAAGTAACCACCATTTTTCATTTTAATACAACACAACCTACTATATTGAATACATATTCACTCTCTTACTTGCTTTGACCTCTCTCTAAATTATTCCACGCAATAACCCCTTGAATAAGCTACCTCCGGGTATGTTATGCATCAACGAATATATAGTAAAACTGAGGTATTAATTAATGACGTGTCACTCTAAAAAACACCGGGTTGAATGTGTCACTCTCGTATTGGTTAACAAAATTCCATCAACATTTACATTAAAAGATTAATTACGCTTAATGTCACGCAATTTTTTGCAGTAAAAAAAATACGACCTACCAGTAGTGAACTTCTATCATCATTACTTCTATGTACGGAGTAGCATTCATTTCACATTAGGGGTGGATTCGGTTCGGGCCACCCGGCCCATGACCCGGCCGGCCCGCTACTGTGCGGTCCCGGAACCGGCCTGGTTTGGCGGTCCGGGACCGGATGTAGACCTGAACTGGGGGGCAGCGGGGGTGGGCTTGGTTTCGGCAAAATGTGACCCGGGTCGAGCCCGGGTCACAACGGTCAGATTTTAATTTTTTTTTTTCTGTTTTGGGCCAAAAGAGCTGTTAGGCTTGGGTTCGGACTACCCAAACGGCTATATAGCCATTGGGTGGGCTGGCAGGGGGGTCCGGGCAGTTTGGGGGGTGGGGTGTGGGTGGGGGTGGGGTGAGGGTGCGGTAAAAAAATCTATAAATACTCCTAGTCTTAAACATTTTTCCATATCTCTTCTCTAACTCTTCCAAAATCCTACTCTCTACTCTCTAATTATCTTCATCTTCATCTTCTCAAATTTTCTTATTCTCCAATATATTATATATCTACTTATAAAGACATATATTAGATTTCTTATCTACTTATATAGTTATATATTAATTATCTATTTATAAATACATATATTATATTATTTATATTTCTTATCTACTTAATCTCTATTTATTATCTACTAAATACATACAATTTATATCTACTTAGGCTATGTTTGACACACAAAAGCCCCTAGCTTCTAGTTTTTCTATTATTTAAAAAGACCTTAAAAGACTCTAGTTGTGTGTTTGGCCCAATAGTTTTTTAGAGAAGTCCAGATCTTTTAAGATTTTTTATCATATGCTAGTTGGGGAAGCGTTTAAAAAGAAAAGATCTTTTCCGTTCGTTTCTGATTTCCTCGTATAACCCTGCGCCCCCCTATGCCGTTCTTCTCTAACGCAATTGCTCCGTGCGTTTCATCTTCCTCATCTTGCTTATACAACTCTTTCTTCATAGCAATCTCCATATGTGTTGAAGCTTCTCTGATCCCCCCCGATTTCCCTTTATCAGATGGTGTAGGGATATGTTCGCTAATTTTTTTTGATAGTTTTATTTATTAATACATAACAAAAAATTATGTTATCTTCAGCTATATAATTCATGAAATTTGCTCATAGTCCATCCACCTCATATCAACTACCTCAATATGTGTGTGTATAGAAAATTTGATTAACTTCTGATAAGGCAGTTTAATTGTTAATAATAGTGTTAAATGTAATAAAAAAGAGTGTGCTGAGGATACATAAAATAGCTGGTCGAACAACAGGTTGACCTGTGAGACCGAATTAGAGGGAACAAATGAGACACCATGTCACCATGTGTGAACTGGCCGGGAAGGTAGGAACACCAATCATACCTATGGTTGGACTCGGGCCGGGTCGGGCCCGGGCCGGCGGTTCTATATAGCTGGACCCGGGACCGGCCCGGGTAGCCACCGGGTCCGGTCCGGGTCCGGGCCGGGCCGGGCAGGGCCTCGGGTTTGGTTATTTATTTATTTTTGCTTAGCTACCCATCCCTGACCCCCCCTCACCCCCACCCCCCCCAAACCCCCCAAACCCCTCCTAAACATCAAGCCCAACCCGGTGGAGCCCAAACAAATGAAAAAACCAAAAAAAAAAATTGGCCTGAACCGTACCCTGCCGGGCCAGGCCTTGTTATGGGTGACCCGAGCCCGGACCGGAAACCCACCGGGTCGGGCCTACCCGGACCGATCACTGACCGGGCCACCGGTTCGGGCCGGGCCGGAACAGTACCGGTCCCGGACCGGTTCCGGGTCGGGCCACCCGGCCCGAGTCCAACCCTAATCATACCATTTGTTCGATGCACATACTAATTCTTATTTTCCATTCAATTGTGTTGGCTTCAATATAATTACTCCCCTTTTTGTTCATTGCCATAACAGTTTTTTAGTGTGTTTGTATACTTGGTACGTTGTCCTTTTTGCTGCATTTTATGTTTTTAATGAATGTTTTATTGTTAGTCTTTGTTAAATGTCATTCCAGGTGTATAAAATATTGGGTGAATATCCCAGTTCTTTCTTCTTTGTCAATTTGTTATGACTGGTTGTTTAGGTTATGCTCTTTGCTTTTTATTATTTGTGGTTCCGTTTTCTATTTTTATTTTCACCTTTATATTTATTTTTCAGAATATCTATTTCAAATCGATTTGTATTTTTATGTGTATTAACATTATTTTATCAGTTAATAGTATTTGATAATTCACTTAATTGTAATTTTATCATATCAGCAACTTACAATAGCTACTTTTCCCAAACATGACTATTTGAAACAGGCAACTTTTATGAAACAGCTACGGTCTTTTTCATCTACAAGCTTTTCAGCTCAAAAAAACTAACGGTTACTAAAAAGTCTAAAAAAGACCTTTTCAGCTAGTCGGGTCAAACATAGCCTTAGTTCGAATTGTTAGTGCATTTTAGTACGAATTAGTACATTTTATATAATACTTTGATTGTTAGTACATAAAATAACTAGTACAAAAAACTAGTTAATTGTTAGTTTTAAGTATTTATTAAAAAATACTATTGATTAGTTCAAATAACTAGTACAAAAAACTAGTTAATTCATTACTCAATTAAATTTAGAATTTTATTTCATTAAAGTTAGAATTGTTAAAATTTTATTTCATTAAAGTTAGAATTGTTAGAATTTTATTTCATTAGTTCGAGTTATTTTTATAAATTAATATCTGTTGTATTTTGAAGATGGAAGATGGTAGATATTCGGTTGATATGCGTAATCTCGACCGCAACCGAACGAACGAGCTTGCGAGGAAGAGATCCTGCAAAGGTAAATCACATATCGGCTCTTCATCTCAAAGCCGGGATAATTTTGATACGGGTTACGCAAGGATGGATGAGGATGCAATGACCGATGAACAACTAGAACAAGAATTGCACCGACATAATAGCCGCTTTTTCCAAGACCAGCCGATGACCATTGACGAAGAAGAGCTCGAGGATGACGATGTGGAGGAAGTAATTTCGAAGATGCCACGACGCCGACACAAAGGAGGGTGGCGGCAGCCACGACGGTGACGAGCCTACCTCATCCCAAACCGTACGAAAAAAAGTAAATCTGAACTAATGTTTCATAATTTTGATAAGTGGAAGGACCCGAACACCGAGAATTGGAACGCAACTTGCAAGTGGTGCAAAAAAATTATAGCTTGGGGATTTCCGGCGGATACGGATCCGCCGCAAGGCATCTTAAGGCCAAACACACAATGGAGTCTGCAAAATTAGGCGGCGGAACGGGGAAGCAAACTCAAATATCGAGGTTTGCAAATAACCAACAATCTTTTGGTAATTTCTCACAATGATGCACAAAATTTGACTGGTATGGCTAACTTACTTGTTGGAGAAAATTTGTCTTATTTGTTTTCTGAAAGTCTTGCTTTCAAAGATATGTACAAACTTGTTTAAATCCTCAATATAGAGGTTATAGTCGCAAAACGGTTACGAAAGAAATTGTAAGGTTTTATGGTATGGAAAAGGTAAGGTTACAAAATTATTTTACAAATTTTGATGGGCGTGCTACTGTATGTTCTGACATATGGGAAGATACTTATCATAATTTACATTATTTGGGTCTGACTGCACATTATATTGATAATGATTGGAATATGCATAAACGTGTTCTTGCTTTTCGTGAATTTAATGATAATCACACCGCTGAACATATTTATATTTTGATTGAGCGTATTTTAATTGAGTATAATTTGAATGATAATGTATTTGCTGTTGGTTTTGATAATGCTACTAATAATACTGCTGCTATTCCTAGATTGCGTGAATTGTGTGGTGCTACTTCTTTGATGGGTAGATTTTTTCATCAACGATGTGCATGTCATGTTCTAGATTTATGTGTGCAAGATGGTCTAAAAGCGTTAGGAGATTCTATGGAGGTAGTCAAGGGGAGGAGATTAGACGTATTTGGAGTAGTGGTCAACTTAGAAAAAATGGCATGATTATTTGATAGAAAAAGGCGAGAAATGTGGCTTTTCCTAAAGATTTGTCTATTCGTTGGAATAGTACTTATAAGTTAATCACAGTTCTTCTTAGATATAAAGAACATTTTCCTGCTTTTTAAAACAATATGATAACTATATTATAAACTCGGCTGATATCGACACTTGCGGAAAAATTTGTAATGTTTTGGTATATTTTTTTAATGCAACTGAAACTTTTAGTCATGTTTATAAATCTACCTCAAGCCAATTTATTCGTGAAGCTGTTAATCTCGCCGGTGCTTTTGCGCAATTTGAGAATGCCGCTTATGTGAGTTATTTTGCTGAATTTATGAAGGAAAAGTTTTTAAAATATTATGCACATATTCCGCATATTTATGGTATTGCATTTGTTCTCGATCTTCGTTTTAGACTTGGTTCTTTAGAAGAATGTTTGAACTATTATTATGCCGCTTTTTTGGTCCCCTTCCAATGTATGACGATAACGCAATTGATCCGAAAAAAGAATATAACGAGGTTAGTGATATATTTTATGCATTATTTAATGAGTTTCATGCACAATATGGCAACGCGTCCCCTCCCCCGACACAAACATCTTCATCTAAAGGAAAATCAATTTTGAAATCTACATTTACCAATCTTATTAAAAAAACTAAAACAACCCCCGCTACTCAACAAAGCACAATTAATGAGATTTCTTTGTATTTAACATATGATGTTGATTTTGAAGAATATGATGATTTTGACGTTCTAAACTGATGGAAAGGAAAAGAACGAATGTTTCCGGTTTTAGCAAAGATGGCTAAGCAAGTGCTATCAATGCTAGTTTCAACAGTTGCCGTGGAACAAGAATTTAGTTCGGTCGGCAATGTCCTAAGTCCTAACGCAATCTAGAATGAGGTTGAACACAGAATCTCTTGAGACGCTTATATGCTACCACGATTGGTTGAAGGCGGCCCGTAGAGCTCAAGAAATTGGCATCACCCTATCCCAACACTTTATGGTTGAATTAACAACCGAGGGTGGCTCTACTTATGCCGGAGATTCCGATTGATTAGTATTTCATGTTTTAATTTTTCCTTCAATTCTCAATTGTAACTTGTAAACTTGTAGTTCATATTTCTAATAAGGGAAAACTGTCAAATAGGTCCTCGAACTTTCATAAAAAAGTCAAGTAAGTCCTTCTATAGGAGACTCTGTCCGGTCGTCGCGATTTGGGGAGGTTCCCGGTGGAATTTTTTGATGAAAGTTTTTGATCATCTTATTCCTCAAGTCTAGTTTACTCATACCAAATTTCAGCTAAAAATTTAACCGGGAGCGCATTCAAATTAATTCGAGAACGCAAAAATGCGCAGTTATCTTCAAGAATTAATTTGAATGTGTTCCCGATTGAATTTTTAGCTGAAATTTGGTATGAGTAAACTAGACTTGGTGAATGAGATGCTCAAAAACTTTCATCAAAAAATTCCACCGGGAACTGCCCCAAATCGTGACGGCCTGACAGAACCTCCTATAGAAGGACTTAATTGACTTTTTTATGAAAGTTCGAGGACCTATTTGACAGTTTTCCCATCTAATAAATATACGTTCATTTTTTTATGTGTAGCACTTCTCAAATTAATTAATTTTACATTATGTAATTTATTCAAAAATTTCAAACTAAAATAAACAAAAAAAAATTGAAATCAAAGCCTCAAGCCTCAAGGCCCCAAACGGCTATATAGCCGTTGGGTGCTTGAATCAAGGGTGTCCCGGGGGTGGGGGTGGGGTGGGGGGTGGGGTACAATTTTTTTTATACATACTCTTATTTTCTAACATTTTTATACACATCTTCTCTGATATCCAATATCCAATCTCCATCTTCATCTCCATCTATTCTAGTATTTATAGAATTATTATATCGTTATCGTATATAATTTTTATACGCAGAAGGAGCTGAGGACCGAGATGTGGTACACAACTTGCAAATGGTGCGGGAAAAAATGTAGCTTGGGTGTTTCACGCGAATACGGGATGACCAAGAAGCATATTAAGTCATGTGACAAAGCCAAAGGACCGAGAAATTCCGATTGATTACAAAATGTATTTCATATTGTATTTTTTTCTCAATTGTCAAATATAGTTTCTATTTCATTTCAAATAAATGCACTTGAAGTTTGTTTTTAATACTTGTATAAAACTATAAAGTATAAATAACTAAAAAAAATTGATTTATCCGACCCGACCCGGCACGGCGGGTCACGGGTGGCCCGACCCGTGACGCGGCCCGAACCGGAACCGTCCTTACCTCGGGCCGGTCCCGGCCCGAGTCCACCACTATTTCACATTGATATGGACTCGTTTTTAATTTTATCTCAGTATGGTCGTTCCCTAAGACCTTAATATAATAGGCATCACTACTATTATTCAACCAGTTACTACTTTTTACAATAAACACTGTGTCCACGTGGACACTATTACAAGAATTTTAATTACTACTATTTTAACACTAGAGTACAATCACACATGAAAAGTACAAACATGAATAGTGAGTAGGATGACGAATGAGGTTGAACGTTTCATTTCTTGAAACGTTTATTTACTTCCATGATTGGTTGAAGGCCCTTTGTAGAACACAAGAAGTTAACGTGGCACCGGACCGCCACTTTATGGAATAAACGAGAACTGACCTCGGAAGTGGCTCTGATGATTAGTTAATGTATTTAAAGTTAAAAATATTCTCGATTTAATGTGTAAATAGTCATTGTAGTGTTTGAAATAAATATACACTTTTATTTTTAATGTGTACAATTTCATTAAAAAATTTGAATAGGACCCGAACCGGCCAAAGATTGCACCGGGATCGGCCGGTTATTTGGAGCGGGACCATGACCTACATTATTCTGGGTTAGTTCCGAGCTTGGAAACTGTGACTGGGACCGGCCGACTGCAACCAGGACCAAACCGGGTCCGAGTCCACCGGCCACCCCTAGTAAAAGGTAATAGCAAATATTTTATTTTACACCTATAACTCACATGCGTGTGTACAATGACGATAAGTTGATTTTGTCTTGATGATTGAGAAAGCAATTCCAAAAGTAACATAGAGGTTAACAACATAACACAAAGCAATGACCCTCACATAAATGTGAAGAGGACATTTTTCTTCGCCATTATCACAAAATATCAATCAATCAATTGTTTGAGATTGAAGAGGTAAATAATTATCATTATACACTACTAATATATGCAACAAATTTTTATTTCAAATATCTTGGATTAATGTATTCAAATATTATGGTGAAATTCATAAGAATAATTCCATTTTTAGAGATTCTACAATAATAATCCCTACTTAGAGTATCCACAAAAATAACTCGAACTAGCAATGATGTTCATAAGAATAATTTGGGGTGAATTGCAATTAATGCTCGTTTGATACTCTCAACTCTTTCTCTTACTTTTCTTCCCCCATTCTTCTTTTCGAGGCAAATCCAAACTAAAACCCGTTTAATATCAACACCATTTCTGTCATTTGTGATTTTCTCTAGGTTGGAACATAAAAGTGTTAGGCGAAATGAAGAGTGGTGAAGCGGAAAGTGAAGGTATGAGTAGGGAGTACTAAATGGGCATTAGTGTGAATTCAATACAATTTATTCTTATGGACACTCTCAGTAAGAATTATTATTGTAGAATTAATAAAAAGTTGGGATTATTCTTGTGAATTTCGCCTAATATTATTGGAGGTATTATTTTAGATTAAAATTGTCATTAACAAATTCTGTAAATACAGCAAAAAATCTGTAAATAATTCACAAAAAAATTCTTCACATTTCCCTTTTTGAAAAGTTTTGTGTAACTAGCATTCATTTACCTTTTTCTTACTCAACCACGACCATACATTTCCACTTTATTCATACTTTCTTACACTCCAATTCAATTCAAACTAGGAAGAATTTTGCGGGACTGAGGAAGTAATATTTACTATTTTAATTCATATTAACATGACACTACCGGGTCTTGGGCATGCGCCTCAGGTGTTACACTAGTATATGTGTATAATATCCTTTCGGTTCAGACTCATGGGGATCACATCTCTTTCTCTCCCTATATGAATATACGCATTGACGCACATAGAGTTTGGTTTAAATAAAAAATGATTTTAGGTGAAGAATAAGAACTTATCATGGTCATTGAGTTTCATTTGGACTTATGGGGATCACATCCTTTTCTCCCTATATGTATACACGTACATAGAGTTTGGTTCAAATAAAAGAAGAGTTTAGAGATTTTATTTTTGATGGCCCCGTCTGCGAGATGTATATTCCCACCATCTTCGGTCAGGAGTTCTTGTTTGCTTATAAGAGGTGTACTGATCTCTTTATCCATCATGAATCAAATTTCTTCCTCAATAATATTAAGGACGCTCGCCCCCCTCCTGAACCACTGCTTATTCTGAGAGGGGAAAAGTGATCAACTGGATTACCTTTTTTATAATCGGTCAAACCGATTATTCAAGCATCTTTTGCTCGGTAGAGTTTCCTTTATTGGTTGTTGATCAAATCATTCTCACTTTACATCGGCTGG